AGCTGCTGGCACGCAGGGTAGGTGCTCCCATCCCCAGTCCCTTTGCCTCAGAGGAGGGGTTTTGTTCAGCGCTGGGCCATGTGGGGCGGTCGGGTGCCCATCCCGCATGGCAGCAGATCCCGGACTGTTGTTTTGCCACCGACTGTCCCCCCCTGGCACCGCCTGGCCCCGTGCCCTGTCTGGGTGCCCGCCCGCCGGGCCGGAATGTGGCTGCCGGGCAGTCCCGATTGTCGCACAGCACAGGCCAAATTCGGGATCAGATGTTTCCTCTCCTGAGCCCCGGAGTTCAATGTCCTTTCAGCGGGAGAGTTTATCCCTGAATGGAAAGTGCCGGGACGGTGCTTTGCATCTCGTTATCGCGCCCAGACAGCGTGTAAGCGATTCTCTCTGGGACAGATTTGGATCTGTCTGTGCCTCTGGGGCACCGCTGCCTTTATCCACCTCCAAATATATCCCCAAATCCCTCCTTTTCCCTGGAGAGCGGCTCCCGCTTTTCAGAGCTGTGACGGGACCCCGCGTTCTTTCGGGATACTCATCCCAGCCGAGCATCCGGACATGCAGAGCCTTGAAGCATATAATTAACGCACGGTCTAGAGTATGCAAATGTGCTTTTTTCATTAGCCTCGGAGACGCCCAACCACGTGCAGGGTGAGCAGGGAGGGGAGAGGACGGGGCAGCACAGCCCAGACACTCGTGGGGGCAGAGAATGAAGCTCAGCATCAGCTGATTCCCAGTTACAGGGTGTCCAGTGTGTGCTGCCAGGCTTCTCCCAGGAAAACAGACCAAACCCGGGCTAAATCAAACCAGAACCGTGCCGGGAAGAGACCAGGGAGGTCGTGAGATGTGTCAGAATTAACCCCCACACAGCTGAGGAGCAAACAGGTTAAAGTGTCAGGACTGCATGGAGTGGGGAGTGAAAGGAATCCATGGATTGAGTCCTCGCCTAAATGGCGTCAAAAAGCAGATTTTTCCTGCCAATTAAAATTTAATTTCCTGATAATTAAAGGGGGAGATACTCAAATAAGGACTTGCACCTCTGGTGTCTAAAAGTGGAGGCATATGAAGATCCACAGCTGGGCTGCAAGGCTTGGGGGTGGATCCAGAGGAATCTCGGGAGAGGAAGGCTCAAAGGGAAGAGCTGCTCCCGGGATACATCTCCATGCCTTCTCCCATCCCATGGCATTGGCAAGGACCAGGGTAGTCCTGACCTCATCCCCAGCAGGATGCCAGGGGAGCCTCTGTCCTGCTCCCCATCCCCTCTGGCATCTTGTGTTTTGGGGGGTGTTCTGGAGAGTTCTGGGATCCACTTCCAAAGGGGTTAATGGAGCTTTTGGAAGGGATGAGGAGAAGAAATATCCTTGGCTCCCAGGACTGTGGTCCACTCACAGCAGGATCCTGTTGTCCTTCGAGTGTAAGGACAGAGGACTGTTGTGGTATCCAGATGGGATGCCAGGATGCCCCTGCCCCAGGATCAGCAATGCCAGGCTGTCCCTGCCCCAGATCAGCAATGCCAGGATGCTCCTGTCCCAGGATCAGCAATGCCAGGCTGTCCCTGCCCCAGGATCAGCAATGCCAGGATGCCTCTGCCTCAGGATCAGCAATGCCAGGCTGTTCCTGCCCCAGGATCAGCAATGCCAGGATGCTCCTGCCCCAGGATCAGCAATGCCAGGATGCTCCTGCCCCAGGATCAGCAATGCCAGGCTGTCCCTCTCCCAGGATCAGCAATGCCAGGCTGTCCCTGCCCCAGGATCAGCAATGCCAGGCTGTCCCTGCTCCAGGATCAGCAATGCCAGGATGCTCCTGCCCCAGGATCAGCAATGCCAGGCTGTCCCTGCTCCAGGATCAGCGATGCCAGGCTGTCCCTCTCCCAGGATGAGCAATGCCAGGATTCTCCTGCCCTAGGATCCGTGATCCTGTGTCAGTACAATTTGCCATTAAAGCCACATTTTCCCTGAGTTTCCCATTTTAACACCACCTTTATGCAAATGTTTCCTCCAGTTTCCTTGTCCTGCCTTTTTTTTTTTTTTTTTATTTTTACATATACCAAACCTGCCACGGTGTGACTTCAAGGAAATTCCCCAAATCCCCCGGAACTGCCCTCTCTCCCAAGCAAAGCTGGGCAGGCCCCGTTCCTGCTCCCACACCTGTCGGACCAGTAGGATCGGGGAGGCCCTGCCTCGGTGCTTTGTGGCTTCAGTCATGTTTATAAACTACCCCGAGATCTGAGAGAAAACATTTACGAGGGCAAAATACTAAGTTGCCAAAGTGTTTCCAGCCTCATAAACACATCATTTTAAATGCGAGGAGGCACCAAGCAGGGCAAGATCACACAAGTGGGATCCATCCCGGGAGCTCCAACTGCAGAATTCCCTCCGTTTCTGCAAACCATTTCAGTCATGAATCGGAAAAAAAAAGCCTTTTTAAAGATATTTTCTGCGTTCTAAAATTGGAAACTCATTTGTTTTTTTCACTGCCCTCCTCCTCCTTTTGTTTCTCTCTCTTTGTGCAGCGTTAGGACAAAGCTTCCTGGAAATCTGGGCTGAAATGTGGGAATCAATTCAGCTCGGGGTGACTTTGTTCCTTTATTTCACACAAACTGCAGCAAACGTGTTTGTTGTGGAGCCATTCACTGGAACATTATCCCAACAATTGTGCAGCTGAGCTGGGATCCTGGGGCTCCTCCTGCTTGTGGGCCTGCAGTGGGAAAGCAGGAATTGGCAGCCTGGGAGACAGAGGTTTAGGACTTAGTCATGGGCCACTTTGCAAACAGAGTGGGATGATCAATAATTCATTGATAATAATTAATTTTTGTGCACTGACAGAGCCTGCCCAGAGAAGCTGTGGCTGCCCCTGCATCCCTGGAAGTGTCCAAGGCCAGGCTGGACTGGGGCTTGGAGCAACCTGGGCTGGTGGAAGGTGTCCCTGCCCATGGCAGGGGGTGGCACTGCATGGGCTTTAATGTCCCTTCCAACCCAAACCAGTCTGGGATTCCAGAGCCAGGGCCAGCAGTGGGTGCCTGGGCTGGAGCCATCCATGGCTTGGTGGCCACAAGCTGCTCTCCCAGCCACCCTGAGCTCCCCCATCCTGGGAAATGCTCAACCTCAGCCCCCTGATTCCTCCAAGGATTCATGTCCCCACCCTGGGCTGGGGCTCTCTGAGTTTTACAAAGGCAGGAGCTCCCCCAGCCCCGAGCAGAGCAAATCTCTTGTGGAGCATTTCAGAGGCTCCTTCCAGGAAAACTTGTTCACTGAGCAGGATTCCAACACCCCCGTGGGGAGGCACCTGCCCATGGATGCTCCTCACCAGAGCCAAAGGCTGGGAAGTCTCCACGTAATCCACGGTGCTCCTGGTGGCAGCAGAGCTCCCTCCCGGGAACAAGCTGCTCTCCAAGCCGTGGAGGTTGTGCTGCTTAATATCTGAACAGAAGGCAACACAATTAGAGCTCAATCTAATGAATGAACCCTGATAAGAGCCACTGTCACGTTCCCTGTCCAGTGCTTGGCGTTGGATGCTCCGTGTGGAGCGAGGAGCCGGCAGCGCGGCCCCGGCCACCCACGGCCACGGCCGAGGCAGAGACACGGATGCTGCGGCCACAGGATGCCAAATAAACAGCGTGGACAACCATCTGCCACCCCCCTGAGCTGCAGCCAGCCCTGACACCCCATTAGGCCACGGCCCAAAAGCACAAATCTGGTGGTTTGGCCACCGGCGGTTTTCGTTTTGCTACAGAAAAGGCTTCTGGCATTTGTTAAAAACAGCAAAAAAAAAACAAAAAGAAAAAGCAACAGGAAGAGAGCCAAGGGATTTGAGGACTTGTTTAAATAATGGGAAGGCTGCTGCTGCCTGTTTTGTTTATGTCATCAAAAAAGGGCACAGCTTTGAAGTTCCCCATGAGCAGCCACAATGTTGGCTCAAAAAGGAGAGCTGGGATGCTGCTGGGTTTGCACCTTTCTGGAGTGGAGCATCCGTGGGGTCACTGTATCCAAAACCCCCGTGTCTGACCTCAGAACGAGCTGATTATTTTTCATTATTAATGTAGAGAAAGAGGGAAAGAATCATAACATTTTCCTCCCCCAAACATTTGTTGTGCTACAGCTTAACTTGTGAAATGCCACTGGAATTCCAATCAGGGACAGACCAGGGAGGAGTGTCACCTCTCCTGGCTGTCACCAAACCACCAAACCACATCCTCCTGCTCTGA